TAACTTCTTTGTAAAGAAGTGTCTACTTCTGGTTATGCTTTTGCATGTGTCACCCATATTGTTGGTATCGTATCCTCATATTTTGCTCTTCGTTGCAGGAGCCCAAATCCAGATGCAGTTGTTGTCATGCATACTCCTTCAGGGATTTTTGCTGCCAGAAATGTTCAGAACGTGAACGACTGTCTTGGAGGTTCAAGTTTGATTTCATCCAAGACTGCAGAGCTCCCTGGATCCCCAGCTCCAGTTTCCAGTGACGTTGATGCATGCTCTGCTGCTAGATGCCGTGTTTTTACAAGGTCAAATTTTAAGGTAGATTCCAGGAATCTTTTGATGTGCTTTATTTTAATTTTTTTAATATCAGTAGTATTTTCCTATTTGCTCTGATTATATCTTATACTTCCTGATTTTTTTTTTAAATTTCCTTGATGAAGTTGAGGCCGTTAATTTTATGGGAGTATTTTTTTCCAATTAAGTGTGCCATTTTGACCAAATTAAAGCTGTCTGCTAGTACTAATAACTTCATATGAAGCTAGCTGTTAGCATGGTGCAATTATTTGTGCAGGTTTTATCTCTGCTTATATTATTTTTTTTGTTTGACAGGAGGTTGAATCGGAGCCAATATTCCACAAACTGGGTGGAGCAAGGCATCATCCAACAGATGCATTAAGTGCATTGAACACAGATAAAGTACTATTCTTTCTTTAGTAGATATATTGGAGAATAGCTATCAATTAATCTTGTCTTCTACTTCTCTTGGAATGATCAACGAGATTGATATTTTTATAATACCATTGTCTTAAAACAGGAAGTGGACGATTCTATCATTTTCTCATCATTCAAGGTTCGACTGTACCAGTTGCAGGTAAGCTATGGTTCTTGATCATGTCCTGCTGGTTATTTCTTAATGATATAGCTTTTTAATTCAATATTTGTATGTGTCTTTAGAGAACTGAGAACCACCGAGTTTGTTTTGGCAAATCTGGTATTCATGGATGGGGTCTCTTTGCACAAAGAAGCATTCAGGAAGGAGAAATGGTGTATTTTTTGTACTGTGATATCTATTTCTGTCCATTTCTCAAAGCATCTACAATGATTCAGTTTGAAGTTGCATTTCGTCAAGCATTATAATGTTTGGTGTGATGATAATGAGCATGTGTATTTCAGGTTGTTGAGTATCGTGGTGAGCAGGTTAGGGGTAGTATTGCAAATCTTAGGGAGGCACGGTACCATTCTGAAGGGAAGGATTGCTATGTAAGATTCTTTTAATCCCTGTCAATTTATGAGTGTGCAGCATCTGGTGTTCAAAGGGTTTAGATTTAGCCATCTCTATGAATAGCCCCATGGTCTAGATTTTATGTTTACTTTACAAATACTACTTAGATTATTGAATTGATAAGCAATTGCCAATATATATTGGCAGAATTTGGTTTTACAAACTTTAAGGTTTGATCATGCTGAAGTATCCATTTGACTGAATTATTTGTATTAGCAAGTTAAATAATTGCAAAATATTTGAACTTTTAGAAAACCTTCTCGATATGCTTACTGTAAATGGGATAAATTACTGAATTCCTGAAAAAGATCCCGTGCCAATGGTTTACCCAACCATCAGATATTAAACTGAATGCTGGTTAGGATAAATGTCCCTATATGTTAAGGCATTTGTAAAACGGCCGAGGTTCTTCAATTTGCTGTATTTGTTGCGGTGCTTCCTTAATTGTCTGTAATTGATCATGCTTGAAATACCCTTTCTTTCTGCCTAGGTCTTTTTTTGTTGCTGCTGCCTTCTTATTTTTAAATACTGATTTTTTATGATTATTCAACATGTGTAATGCAGCTGTTCAAAATCAGTGAGGAAGTAGTGATTGACGCCACCAATAAGGGGAATATTGCACGCCTAATCAATCATTCGGTATGGCCTTAGAATTAGATTACTGCTAGTGTTAGTCACACAGCATTGTGAATTCTTTTTAGCATGATGAAAACACCACCGTTTTGCAGTGCATGCCTAATTGCTATGCGAGGATCATGAGTGTTGGGGATGAAGAGAGCCGGATAGTTCTTATCGCTAAGGCCAATGTGTCTGCCGGTGATGAGCTAACGTAAGATTTATGGATTCCCTATTTTTTTCGTTACTTTCTGCCACTGTTTATTCATCCTAGCTGGTACTCTTTTATCGATTAATTACAATTCAGATGATATGAAATGCCGGATGTATGATTTGTCTGACAGATACGATTATTTGTTCGATCCGGATGAGCATGATGAACTCAAAGTTACTTGCCTATGTAAAGCTCCCAACTGTCGAAAATATATGAATTAAGGTGGTTCTGCTTACCATTTTTCTCTGATATATAAAGCATTAAAGATAGCTTCTGATGGGGAACCGATTTTTTGTGTGCATTTTGATAGTTTCAGAGCTGAAACAAACGAAGGATCTCAGTTTTTGTAACCGTTCAACAGGGAGCTTGTAATTCTTTTTTATCTTAGCCTTTTAGGTTCAATTGTTTTTGGTTATTCTTTTCAATAATTTGTAAATTTCTCAGCCTCATTGACTGGTGGCATTTATACAAAGTATCGGTGCAGTTGCACCTCATACTATCTAAATATATTTTCTTACAAAGTCATTTTTTTCTATTTATTATTATTTCCTAAGAAAAAGAAATTTTTAAGAATTCAATTGACTGGATCGGCGGCGGCTTTTGGTGTTTTAAAATTTTAGTTTTCTGATTGGTTGGAGATAGGATGGAGTCGGATGAAACTTTAGTGGTAAATATAATATAATATAAAAAATAAGTCTCTAATTATGTTTAAACGTTTTAATGTTTAAAGAATTTTTTTTTTGTTAAAAATAAGTGTCTAACGTTTTTTCTATTATATTTTTAGATGTCTTACGTTTTCTCTGTTATATTTTTAAGTATCTAATGTTTTTTCGTTACCATTTTAGGTGCTTAGACATTAATTGTCGTTAAATGATGTGTCATGTTTTGGTATTTTTGAATATTTATAGTAAAAAAACATAACAGTGTCGTCTTCTCCCTTTCGCCTTCTCCCCCTCCTCTGCCATGGCCGACCAAATGACAAATGATCGATCACCATATTCGATCAAAAGGTCGATTACCACAATCAGTCTAAGGGATTATTATGGATTCGAAGCCCTAAAACAAAAAAAAAATTCATTTACACCATTTTTGTGTGGTTGCTTGGTTACGAAAATATGAGACTTTTGGTCATGGGTGGTTGGTCAATCACACGTCGTTGGGTGTTTGGCTTATTAACGATGTTGGTGGCGACCAGCGGTGACAAAGGGATTAAAATGAAATTTTTAAAAGTTTTGAGTTTTTCTAATGTAATACCCAAATTTTGACGATTAACCAAAATGTAAATTTTGAAACTTTGATGGCTAAAGTATAAATTTGGAAAAGTTTAGGGACCAAAGTGATAATTTTACCAAAAAGAATTTTTATGTCATAATGCTAGATAATGGTTGGAAATATTATTTTCATATTTTACATCAGAGAAATTTAGCACATAACAATGTATTTTTTCCTGTTTGGGTCGAACAATGGAATTTTAGTGATTAAAATGTAATTTTTGAAAATTACATGGACAAAATAGAAAGTCAAAGACAAGTTGAAGTTGATTCATCTTTGACTAATAAATATTTTAATGGAAGATGATGTACTGGCATTTGGTAAATTATCAAGTTTCATTAATGATATTTTTGGAATTTCTCATTAAATGAATTTTAAATTCAATTATATTATTATTAAGACAAGTATGAAGGTGGATAAATACTAGATTAAACAAGAATTTAGTATAATTTTCAGCCATTTTTTTCTTTTGGCCGAAACATACCTAGCTACCAAGGTAAGATTTTTGTTTTGAATTTTGAAGCTATATACTTGATTTTTGGATTAAGCTATTAGATACATAATTAACCTACATGAAATTCTTTATCATTTGGTACCAATATTTCATGGTGAAGATGCTTATATGTTGAGATCGAAAGTTAGGGTTTATGTAGGGTTTTGGGATTTTGAAAGATTGATGAAGAATTTTTTATGTTTTTTATGTTGGAGATTAATTCTAAAGCATGTATGATGATTAAAATTATTTATACACGCTTATATTATGTTTGGTTACTTTAGGGTTTGTGGAGAATTGATGGATTTTGATGCAATTTGAGGATGTGTTTATTTGTATAGCATAAATTTGAAGTAAGGAAGTTGAATTCATGCTTGAAATTGAATGAAATTCTTGACCTTTTTCCTTTGCAAGATTCGGCCACTAGGGAAAATTAGGGGGGAAATATTTAACAATTTCCTATGGTCTAGAATGGATATTAGAAGTGTTCTATGTGATTTGGAATACTTGAATGCTGGAAATCTAAGTTGTAAAGTTGTTTGGAACCAAATTTCAAATTTGGTAAAATTTAGGGGTGGAATTCGAAAAGTCCAAGAAATATAGGATTTGAATTCAAGTTTTTAAATGTGAAAGTATCATTTGGGTAAAATAGTATTATGCTGGAAATTTTAGTAGCTTGCTGATTTTTGAGTTTAATTATTTAAGTTGGGATTAAATTGTAAGTTTATAAGGTTAGTGGTCGAATTTGAAAAACCTAAGAAAGTTTAGTATGAAATATCAAGCTTTTGAATGTTTAAGTTTTGAATTGAATATTTTATTAAGGTACTGGAAATTTTATATGATTATTGTGACATAATCATAATAGTGAAGGTCTATTATGAATTTAAAGGAAAAGTTGAGGTGAATTCTAGAAAGAATTTAAAACTAGTAGCTTATTGTGTATTTAGCAAAAGTTGAAAGGTTGACGAGGAAATAAATATTTATGGAATTTAATAAGTATTTGTGAGAATTTTAAGTTTATGATGATATTATATTTAGTTAAATCGATTAAGTATCGATTTTCAATTTTATATTTACGCTCATATTATGTTAGTTCAATACTAAAATATAGTTTGAACATTCTATATTAAAATATGACGTCGTCAGACCATAGTAAATCTAATGATCCAACTAGCTCGAGAGGGAAGGAAAAAGTATGGGAGCGAGAAGATTATCGTGGAGAAGGTTCGATAGCAAGACAAAGGTGAATGCATTTAATTTGTTTTTATGTTATCAAACAAACATTGACTTGCGATGAGCCAATGTCAGAATTACTATTATAAAAAGTGATTTCTAATGTTATATGAATTGTGATTTTAGCCTATATGTCCATTTATTAAGTTTATAGAATTAGAGAAATGAATTAAGGATGCAAATTAGGGAAAATTGTCTAGAAATTAAGTTTAGAAATTCATAATAAATTATATAGAAATGATTAGAAGATGAATTTTATACCAATGAAATCGTGTATCAATCTAGTTTTGTCAAAAGCAAACAACTGTTGATTTTGAGTTGTATATGAAAGGATATGAATTTTTAATCAATGATAGATCAGAATAATTTTATACAATTGTAAACTAGAATAAGTGCCTTATATGGTTAGATTTTTATTCGAGTATAGTTTTCAGCAGTATTAACGGAATAAATTTTAAGTATGTATAATAATACAAAATAATACTTCTTTTAATATAGTGCAAACTGTCAGAGCATGAAATTTTAATAAAATTGGATAGTTGAAGCATTTGAGAACAAATAATTAATTCTAAACCTTAGAGAGACTTATATTTTGATTTATTAGCAAAGTGAATGTAATTTATTATTTAATTAATTTGATTGACGGCGACTTGCGATAAGTCAGCTTCATAATTATTTTCAAACATATTTTCTATTTTAATTATAGAATGTTTCTATAGTATTTACATAAATGTTTTTATGGATGATATAGAGCATGAAAAACACAAGTACGAATTTTATGAAAAAGAATTCTAAATTTTTATGATTTTCAGATGTTGATGAATAAATTATTATAATATGAAATTAAAAGTCCATTATATGTTGCATTGAGAATTGTTATAATTGACGTGTCATTAAGTGATTACTTATCAGTTTCCAGTTATCTGCAGCGTTGGTGTTCATGTTATAATTGCGCACTAATGTGCATAATATGTTTCAGTTTTAGTTACGATTGACACTAAAGTGTCTAGTGTGCACTCTACTCATGTACCTTACATTCTCATAAATATACACTGGGTTATAAAAATAAGAAATTTTTTGAAAGTGACTTAAAGGAAAAAGAATATGAATACAAAATATAAAAGTTCTGAAATGTGTCTGAATAAAAAATGTATGTTAAGTTGATGTGACATATTTAACTCGTAATACGAAACGTATATGGGCTATGTGTATTATATCTAAGATTTGAAAAAAATAGTTTTTTTAATTATTTTTTATTTTTTATTTTAAATAAAAAGTCTCAGAATTATCAGAGTGTGACATGTGTCACTTAACGGTGATTTTTAGCGACGGTTCACATTGGACACCTAAGAGTATAACATAGAAAACGTTAGGCACATATTTTTAGCGAAAAGTTCTTTAGGCACTAGCATAGTTCAGACATTTATTTTATATTAAGCATATAATAAAGGATAAAGTACACAAATGGTCCCTCGACTATAGAGTATTGTTTTATTGAGTTCTTCGATTATTAAAAGTTACAAAATGGTTCTCTGACTATAGGACATTACTTTTTTAAGTCCCCTAGACTATTAAAATTTATAAAATGGTCACTTAACTATTCATTGTGTTTCAATCTTGTTTTTTTTTTTTGTTAAAATTTTTATGGTAGTTTGAGCTGCACATTAACCTTATGTCTGGCATATGATAGTCGTTTGAGATTTTGGGTTCATATTATATCATACCTTAGTCAATAGGTTAACGTCTAACTCAAACAACCATAAATTTTCAACAAAAAAAAGGATGAGTTTGGAACACAATGAATAGTCGTGTGACATTTTTGTAACTTTTAATAGTTGGGGACTTAAAAAAGCAACATCATATAGTCAGGGGATCATTTTGTAACTTTTAATAGTCGGAGAACTCAATAAAGTAATACTCTCTAGTTGAGGGACCATTTGTGTACTTTACCCTATAATAAAATATGGATTATAATTAAATTATTAAGTGATTAATTTAAAATTTTAAAATTAGGTGTCATACTTTAATTTAATTAATTTTAAAATTATGCACTTAAAAGCAATTTGGCCCAAAAATTATTGGTGTAAATTACGTGTTTAATACCTAAATTATCAATTTTGGTTCGTTTTATTATTTAAACTTTTATTTTTTTTCAAAATCATACTAAAGTTTAGTTTTTGTTTCATTTTTTAGTACCCGTTCAAAATTTAAAATTAAATTTTGATTTTTTTTAAAGTTTAGGTACTAAAATGGATCAAAATTGATAGTTTAAGCACTAAATGTGTTAAGTTTTTAATGGCGGGGTATTAAAATAAAACAAAAACTAAACGTTGGTTTTGAAAACATTGAAAGTTTAAGTATTAAAATAGATCAAGACTGATAGTTTATGTACAAAATTGTAATTTACTCAAAATAACGAGGATTAAACAAGCTTGCCGCCACCAACAGCAGCGCTTCCATTTTACTTGGGTCGTGGATGGGACCTAGCCATCATCACCATATGATGTACGTTTGTTTGTGTATGGCATGAACTTGAGACTATATGCCTTTAAGATTTGCTTCACAAATCTAAACAAGTAGAACCACTGTCCAATAAAGAGGCGGCGTTTGTTGATGGCATCTCGGAAACTGTATTTCTATTCAAACGTCACAATTTCCAGTTGATATCTTATTTCAGGCGGAACAGGTGAAGGTTTAAAAGTTTACAGGATCACCAGCGCTCGCATGCTGCCTTGATAATCGTCGTTGTGCCTGGAAATATCCCGTGCACGCGGAACAACAGTCCGGCAGCTGTATTTCTACGACCTGTGGTTTTGGTAACGGGACTGGATGAGTTAATGATTGAGTAAAACTTGGTGTTCGGAGAGAGCAGGAGAATATAGCAAAGACACTATCAGGTGCATACCGGAATGCAAACACTGCTTCCACGCAGACTGCATTGATGAATGCCTACGAATGAACACTACGTACGTGCCCGGTGTGCCGAAACAATCCATCGGGAGAGGATGCTAATTCACATACTGACCCTGTTTGATATATTATAAGCTTCTTTTTGCTTTTCCAATTCTCACTTGTTGTATTGTATACAATCAAGGTAATACAAAACATGATAATATATATATATACAATCACGGTAATACAAAACATGATATTATATATATATATATACACACACATTTTTTATCATGACAAAGAAGGCATGCCTTTGATGATGTCAACTCGGAAACTTCCTCTCATAGAAACAAGAGAACCCTTTATTCTTTCAAGTAGTTGACATTCTATAAATGGATTGCTCCCTCTTTGTCCCCTGAGTAATTTCTTCAGCACTTTCCATCACGGATACCCTCATCTTGCTCTTTTCTCCTTCTCCTTTTATGTGCAGCAGCAGCAGCAGAGCCTTGTTCCATTGCTAGGTGTGGCAAAAACAAAGTCCCTATACGGTTCCCTTTCCGTCAACAAGGTAAACAGCCCGAAAACTGCGGGTACCGAGGCTTTGACCTCAGGTGCGGTAGTCAAGACACGATTTATCTAGACCTTCCTTATTCCGGAGAGTTTTACGTCCGTGATATCAACCATCTCGATCAACAGATAAGTCTATACGACCCTGGCGATTGCCTTCCGAAGCGGCTTCTCGGCTTAAACCTTCCGGGCTCTCCCTTTGTGCCTGTTTTTATTCAGAACTACACGTTCTTAAACTGCCCAACTCAGGTCACAACGTCTCGGTTCAATGCCATTGATTGCCTAACCAATTCAACGAACTCGGTCTTGGCTACTTCTTCCGCAAGGCTTGCGAATAGGATTGCCTCATCATCGTGTCGTATCATCACTGTGTTGTCGATTCCAGTTCCGTGGCAGGCCAAGGATGACGAGGAGTTCACGGCCGCACTTGATGCAGACATTCAGCTGACATGGAATGCACCTCGATGCGGCGATTGCAAAGAACAAGGAGTAATCTGCGGGTTAAAGAGCAACAGCAGTGAAGAAATCTTCTGTTTTCATACACCAAGTAAGGATATTTCTTGAAATTTTTTTCATTCATATGATCTTAATTCTGACTTTACTATAGATGACGCAATTGCTTATATATAAGAACCAGCATGATTAATGGTCCAGCTTGATTAATGTCAACTAGTTCTTATATATAAGAACCAGCATGATTAATGTCAAGTTCTTCTTATATATAAGAACTAGTGTGTTGTATTTAATTAGCAATGGTCCAGCTTCAAATGTCAAAGTTCCCTTTTTGATATCATGTTTCAGGGAGAAAAGGTCAGGGTCTCCAAGTTTTCAGGGTCATCTCTGTGTATTACTCTACCGGCAATCTCCGAAGCAATAGGAATTGCCGTCTTTGCATACTGCCAGGATCGATGCAATCGTGCCCGGAGAAATCCATATCCAATGCAGGTGGACGACAGCACTGCAGAAGTGTTGCCACAACCTGTGATTGTCGTAACAGGGCTGGATGAATCCACAATTGAATCATATGAGAAGATTGTGCTTGCCGAGTGCCAGAGAATACCTGGCCCCAATCACAGCACTTGCCCTATATGTTTGTCTGAATACCTTAGCAAAGACACTATCAGGTGCATACCGGAATGCAGACACTGCTTCCATGCAGAATGCATTGATGAATGGCTATGGATGAACTCTATGTGCCCGATGAGCCGAAAGTCTCCACTGGAAGAGGATGCTAGTTCACGTAATGACCCTGTTTGATATATTACACCTTTTTGCTTGTAGTGTACGCAATCAAGAGTAAAAGAAGTAACGTAATCACATATTTGATCCTTAATACTTGCACATTCTAATAACTATTTACCTTTACAAACGCCATACATGCATATGTTTAGATTAAACCACTATAAACAAGCTTGTCCCGAATTTATTGTATTGTAATGGAAGCTCAAAACTCTTAATCAAACTAATAAAATTATTCTTCAGCACTAAAATCAGGCTCGGCTGGCTTTTGAGGAAGCAACGGCGACAATCTTTGAGGCAATCTGGCGCTTTGTGAACCGTTGCTCCGCAGCGTTCGTAAAGCATTCACAGCGAATTTTGATGCGTAAAGAGTGGCACCAAGGCTCGCCGTCGCGGAGGCTTCACTCTCTTTGTTCAAAGCCAATTCCTCTGCTTCGCGTAGAGACTTTACAAGCTTCCTCTTGCAGTGCCGACGCCAAGCTGCTTGTATAAACGACGCTGCCCATGTCTGCCATCGCACGGAGTAGTACCTGGTTGAACAAATCACTTCATATAAGCACATTCTAACACAGGATAGGAACTAAAGGGAAATAGTGTTGTGTAGAACAATTACTTGAAAGTGTGCATGAACTGCTTGCTGGAAAGGCGTCGAAACTGAGAGGCCACAAACTTCAAGTCATCCGCCATTAGAGCGAAAGCTTCAACTTCTTTCTGTGCCTGCACCGTTCTCGTCGAAATCGGTAGATTAGACGATGATTGGGGATCCAAGGCCCAAGTAAGGAGATCATCACCGCAAAAGTCACCAGCCTTGAGATTAGCCAAGTTAAAGAAACCGGTTCTTCCACCGTTGGTGGTCGTACTTGTCAGATTCCCTCGGATGATAAACAACATCTCCTCCACCGGATCCCCTTCTCGGAGAATGCAGCTCTTGTCGGTGTAAAGCACCGGCTTCAGACGATCACACATTGCATCTAATAGTTGTTCATCCATTTTGTCAAACATGGGCACCTAAAAAAACACAAATTTTGAACTGTTAAATCTTAGGATTGCATGAACGTATGAAGCTCGAGGCTTAATGAAAGCACTCACTCTTTTGAGAAGATCCAAGCAAAGATGTCTTTTTATATCTCTCCTGAGATCTCTGGGAAGGTTAGCAATGAGATTCTCTTCTTCGACGCCTCTGGTTTCTTGCCATTTGTACTGCTCGTATCGCCTAATGCGTTCCCTCAGGTTCTCGGGAAGCATCCTGTGGGACATCCATTGCTCTGCATCTTGCCTTTTCACTCTCATTTCCTCCACTCTGACTCCTGTTGATTGCAGATATTTCTGGGAAAGTAACAATAAATGTTGAGAAACAATGAAATAATTTTTTGATGGCGAAATACCAATGATTCGATGAAGAAGATTGTTAAGCAAGTACCTGCATATTCCCAATAAGCAGTGCAAACAGAATCAACCCACCAATGGAAATAGCAATAGCAAAGAGTATCTCAAGCTCGAAAGTGCTTGTTTTGAGATTTTGGCCTAAAGAACTGAAAAAAAACAAAAGAAAAGGGGTGAGAATCAAATGGAGTAAACTACAGGGTTGTTGTTCAATGTTTACAAACCTTAGATTACGCAAACCCCACCAAAAGCAGTAAAAGAACTTTTTCGGAAAATTCTTTGTTCCGACCAAACCAGAATCAAGTACATCGATGAATATCCCGAAGTTGAAGACATCAGAACCGTTTATGTCGTCGGGTTTGGTTAAAGGGCAGGTAGTATTCAGCAGATTCACTAATGTCTCGTTTCTTACCGGGGTTGTTTCTTTAAAACAGTACAGAGCGCCTTTGTCACCACTGCCTAGAGCATTGCGCCAGCACCGGTCTTGTCGTTCGATTGAGAACAAGTACCAAAAGGCTCCGACTGCCTGGCATGTCGTAAACCATAGAGAATCAGGAAATTGCTTGTAATTGTTGATATTTGCTTAAACCAAACGACTCATAAACTATACACCGAATCAAACTTACATGACTGGCTAGCATGTAGAGGAAGAGATTCAAAGCAGCACCAGCCCATGCTGTCTCGGTAAGTATACCGGAAGTGCTCGTAACTTCTTTGAAAAGAGGGATGATTCGAAGGATCCTCGGCACGTATTGGCAGAAAATAATGGATTTCAACAACTCCTTTGTGACCAATGAAACTGGGCCTTTCAGCGCAGGAATTATGATTACGACTACCACCTAATCAGAAAAGCAATACATGAGATTGTTCATAGTTAGTCATGGATTGCAACTGTCAAAGGTAAGTGAAGTAGAAGCAGTTAGCACCTGCGGAAGTGGAAGAATTGCCAGAATATCGATGAAGAAGTTCTTGCACAAATACAGCTTTGCGATCGCCCTGGGATCGTCGATCAACTCACCCCTACCGAAAACACGAGACGACGGGGCAATGAATGCGGTGCGGAACTGAAAGACGATGTGAATTATATAAAAGGCGTCGACAAATGTACGGAGGACGCTAGCAATGGTCCCCAGTCTTTTGTCCAAGTCAAGGCACTTCTTGTAGTCATCAACCACAGGGATGTAGAAAAACAAAGGATCAACAGCCAGAGCAACGGCACACGAAAGAAGGAACATTTTGTTCCATGTCTGAAGAAACTCTCCTTGTGGATTAAGAATCCTCTTCCTGGTACCCAATGCCTTGTCTTTTCTTGGTCGTTTTTTGCCCAAAGAACCAAAGATCACTGGTTTTTTTAAGCTTCTAATCCTTCCAGACCAATTCTCGAATACCATCCGGACACGATCCATAACAGCACCAAACGATGGCCTAAGTTTCATTGTAAATGATCCATCATCTGAACTCCAATCGTGGAATCTGAGTGATCGAATGAAATATCATAAAAAACCCAAAGTTAAAACACTATTAGACTGATTCTAGATCAAATATACAGGCCAACAATGAAACCACAATATTACAAACCAAGCCAAGCAATCCAATGGTAAGAATTTACATGGTTGGTTTTCCAGGCAGGCTTTAGTATAGTTGACGGGTACTAATCGTACTATACACTTAGAAAACGCAAATAATTCTAAAGTTGAACCGATCAATGAAAACGAAACAACAAAAGCAAGCAACTGTATATGCATTGATAAATTCTAACCTTAAAAATTTGTCACGCCGGAAAGTCATGATTTCGGCCAATTTCTGGGGTAGTTTCATCTCATATGCAACCAAGTTCAACTTCGAGAGTTATCTAACTCTTGTACAAAATCAAAACCCTGAAATGAAAAGTAAAACCATAACTTAGAAGATATATAAAAACCAGTAAATCAACATTTCTTTTGATGAATTAATGAGACAACTACCATTGAAAAGACTAAGAGAGAAACTAGAACTGTGGTTGTGACGTTGCTTTCTTATCATAAAGAAGAAGAAAAAATATATGCATATGGAAGACTCACCTTGATAACAAAAGTCAAGACTAAGAAAGATTTAACTTTTGATTTCGTGTATGAAGATGTGTTTGCATTGATTCTGTAGATTTTCAGACCAAACGAACGAGAAACAGAGGGACAAGCAGTTTGTTTAAGGTGTCATAAAGGCATAAAAACAAAGGAAGGCGGAAAAAATAGAAAATGGAGGGGAAATTTCGTTTGAGAAGGGGGGAGGGGGGGCAGCCCTTTTAGAACATGGATAGAGTTGATAATGGCAGATATATATGTGTGTATGTATAGATTATGGAAGAAAGAGGAGACCAAAAAGGAAGACGAAGTCCACGGGGACGACAGCAGAGAATAGTCAACACTCAACCCCAAGGGCCAAAGTCTCTTTAGATTTTGGAGGGAAGCTAGCTTTGGGGGCCAATCTCTCGATGTAGACTTTGGGTGAACTATATTAATAGTTATTAAACTTTATAGGCAAAAATGCATGGAGGTCCCTATACTTTTAAAAAAATCAATGTAACCTCGTATTATTTTTTTTCTCAATCTGACCTTTCAATATTTTTCGTCGTTGATTGTTATGGAATTTACTTGGCAGTTCATTGTATTGACATGGTGGTCCACGATGCTGACGTAGCAGTCCACAATGGTTGATAACGTGACGGATGACATAACAGATGGACTAAATCGATAACTCAAACATAAAAGATGAATTGCCAATGAGCATTATAGATCACCATATCAGCATCGTAAACTGTCACATCAACACCGTAACGATCAACATGGGAAAAAACTAGGTTAAAGGACCACTTTTGGATTTGTTAAAACACACTCCAAACCAATAAAAATCCATCAAAAACTTGGATTATCTAATACTACCCATCAATATCTGTTCTAGTTTTAATTACCAAATGCAAAATAATTCATACCAAATATGGGTACACATGTATATAGTTTATATTTTATTTGGTCCACCTGCAAGTTTTATAATTGCATTAGTACTTGTACAATGAATGTGGACGATCATACAAAACGAATTATTTTTCCACGCGGAAGCTTATAAAATTACGATGTCAAGGTAGTTGTGTTACTTTATCATTGGTATTATTAATAACAAGTGGTTTAGTGTGGTCTCAGCCTAGTCAAATAGTAGGCGATGACTCGTTCAATTTCCTTCTCGTCAATCCGTATCAAACGACAACGTTCTGGACATGAAATAGATTGGACAATTACGAGTTGCTGTAAAGTTGATCTAGAAAGGAGGAACAAAACATGCCAAAAACACATCTCAGTTTCTGTTCCTGAAAATTTGTAAATTCTAATCAACTTTTTTTCTTCACCGTGGAAGATGTTATCAGTACACTGGTGACTTTCAACAACAAAGTTAACCAAAAGAGGGCTAATAGACTGAAGAATTTTCAAGAACAAAAATGAGAAACCCTATAAAGCTTTTGTAAAATGATACAGAATTCAGTTGTAATCCTAAGGAGCACCTATTTCAGTTACAATGTATAGAACACTAAACTCGTTTCGCCTTCGAGCCCTCCTTTTTCAGTTTTCACCGTTACTCCGACATATCTTCAAAAACAGCACCTCCAAAAATGATTTCTGTCATTTGTAGTGTACATACAAGCACAGGGCAAGTAGCATGTGTGACCGACCGACCATCTCGTGAGAAAACCAATTAAGAATCAGAAAATGTACTTCTTGCTTTCATGAGAACATAAAATGCCTGGTGAAGGGACGCTCTTGCAGTATAGGCTCTCCCCCCTCGTTTCTTCCTTCAAATGGAAAGGGAAGGTGGTGACGATCTCTCTTCTCTCGATTGCAATTCTTCAGGGCTGGCTCATCTGCCAATAAAATCAAAGTCCCTTTTTAAATGAGAGCACCGTAACAGAATCCAACCGACAACAAAAAGAGAAAAAAATCAGAATAGTAAAGGCAGCATAAACTTCAAAGGGATAATTACGATCCAATCTTATATTCAATTCGGTTGCAACATTAGATATATAACCACTAGTCATTGACTCGAGAGGCAATCCACCGGAAATACCAGAACACCGTCCTGGAAGAGGGTGACAACTGTTGTCTATGTCAAAGTAGGACGCTGGGAGCAGGAAGTAATTTCCACACAAGCTCAGTCATGTCAAGCCAATAGAAATTACTACACCATCTACCCTGTTGCTAGATCAGCAAAGGCAGTTGGACAATAATATAGATGCATGGTAGTTTTCAAGGTGACAGATTTTCCGTGAAGTCTTCAAAAGAAGCTACCTAAGACAAACAAGAAGATAAACTACCTTTGGAAGTGGGGTGAAGAAGGCTGGTCCAGTGAAGACCGTTGAGCAGAGGTACCATGAAACCTTTGCTCGTGAAATACCCCACCTGAGCTGCTTCCTTCAATTGGCTGTGATACTTCATTCATGCCTGAGAAACCCACTGGTCCAAGAGATCCAAACTCAAGCTGTTCAGCGGGATAACCATAACCAGAGTTATGATCATACGGGTAGAGCATCAAAACAGGTGGCATGGTAGGTCCATTAGATGATACCCCACCGGGGTTCATGGCTGGCAGTGGGTACATGCCATATGGCATGCTAGCTGAATTACATTGAGAAGAGTTTGAACGGATGGGTCCATTACGAGACTGGTAGGACATAGATGAATCATGCCTATGTGACCCCCAAGGCCTCTCAGCTCTGTTCTCACCAGCACCAGCAGCGAATTGGTCAAACGTGAACCTTGATTTTTCATTTTGATTGCGGCTATGACTCCGTCCAGCAGCTCGGGACTTCGAATTTGCATTCCAGTTTCCATCTCTATCAACGTGGTGGTCATTTCTATCATAATTATATTTTCCCCTCCTCACATTTGCAGAATGGCGTTCTCTCATTGGAGCTTTCTGAAGTGGGGAATAAGATCATATAAAAACGTTATCAAAGGCTACAGTTCCTCAAGGTTAAATGTCACATAAATGGGAACTAAGCAACATAAGACCACTTCAAAAAGCTGAAGCAATAGAGTAATATAGTTGTATCTTATGACCTATTTAACATTGAAACTCAACACTGCATACCCAATTAAAGGAGGAAGTGGGGAAAGCAGAACCATGTATCATCATTACTCTTCCAAACATGCAAAGTTCAAGGGCAGAAATTAAAGGTAATAAAGGTAAGTTACAAATTGATTATGCAACTTACAGGGTTTGGCAGATATGTCCCAGTACCACTGCGATATCTAGGCATTTCATCAACATACCGTTGATATACATTGGCAGGTCTATTTGAAACAGATTGGAGAGGTGTCGTAACAGGAACAACACGAGGTCCATAATTAATAAATTGGGAGAAGATATTCGCATTTGATGAAGGTCTCCCAGGACCATCACATGGGAAATGGCCTTGTAAATAGACAGGTGGCACCACAACAGGTGAAGGATAAATCATTGGAGGGTATCGCGGATTTTGGCAAAACCGTCCGTACTGCAGGTTTTGCCAATGGCTAGCAATGTCACCATTAAGAATGTCAGACTTATGCTCAGATGGATCAAGAGACGAAACCTTTCTCGTAGAACTAGATGTACTTAATGCATCAGACAGATCAGGCCCCTCAGATGATTCAAAATTTTGTCCTGAATCATTGTTATCCAAACCTTCATCCCAACTAAAGTGGCTTGTCGATGCATCTGGAGTTCCTGCTTCAGTTGGAATGTTGTACACAGGGCAAAACAGAAATGGAACTGGTGGCCCTGTTATTGTGAAGGCCAGGGGAGGAACTCCGGAATTATCCATAGTTCTTTGCCCTGAACCTGGACCTAGAAGGAATGGAGCAATGGGTATCAGTGAATCTGAGCCACTTGCTTGAGTTGCCTCAAATCCAGGCATTTGATGACTTGGAACAGGAAAAGAACCAACCGATTGAGGTCCAGTAGTTCTTTCTGCAATTTCAGTTACCACCACTGATGGTGGATTCCAGTCTCTGCCATCATCATCTGCCTGAGAGGAATGCTCAGATACACTCTTACCTTTCCCACCTGCGCTGGACAGAATCACAGAAGCAGCTGTTTTCCTACCCCGTTTCTCCCTAGCTGGTTTAGAGACCTTTGCTGATGAACCTTCCCAAGAACTTTCAGATGAGGTTTTACTTCTAAGTGAACTAGTATATGAAGCAGACAATGATCTTGAATTTTCAGTTCTTTCATCAAAGTAAACATCATTACCTCTGGTATCTTGATACTGGGAAACATCTATGTGATCTTCCCTAGCTGATCGTCGAGTTTCTTTAAAAGACTTCTGTTGGACTTCAGAACTACCTGAGCTGCCTACTCTAGATTGAGTAACAAAACTATAGCCAGCTGATGTTGCCAGTTGCTTATCATTTGAATGAAGCACTTCAAAACTTCCATTATCAAGATCAAAACCACCGCTAGAGCCCCCGTCATGTTCAGGCCATAACTCATTTTCCATTTCCCCTAGGTTTATTTCAGGAGAACTGAAATTTTCACTGGAGGGCTCAATTTGATCCTCTGGGTTTGAGGCTAATCCAATGCCAGGAAAATAATTGGCCAAACGAGAAGAGACCAATCCTTGGGGAAATATTTGAAAATTTGTAGGAAGAATTCCACTCAAATTTCTCTGATTGAATCCCATTGATAGAGATTGGATGTGAAAAGGCAAGTGGCCTGCAGCTAAATTTAATGGAATAGGAACCTGACCATTAAAGTCATGAGTTGTAGAAGCCATCAAATTCACTAGATCTTGCTCTTCTTGTGCACCAGGAACTGAAGAAAAATCCTGACCCATAGTACCCAAGCCCAAATCATCTTGGTAACTATTCATAGGACCGTTTGGATAGCCAACAGCATCAATGGTCGGGCGTGTTGAGGTATGCCTAATAGATGAAGGATCATCACCTGAAGATTTAATGTTATGACTTGTCTTCATATCGGATTCAATATTCCTTATCCCATTATTATCTGACCTCATGGAAGCAATCTGGGTTTTCCTACTCTCTGGCACTCTGTTCCGCCTTCCCTGTGAAGCAACTCCCCCATATGTTTCAGTAAGCTCAGGACTAGAACGAGTCCTTGCAAAAAGATATCTTCCTTGAACATCAGTTACCAAGTTCTCCTTAGCATTAGAACTCTGACCTTTATCATTGAGCACATTCTTAATGGAATTAGAATCCCGTCTAACCTTATCAGAGGTCTTTTTGTTGCTAGTGATACCGCAACTCTTTTGGCTTCGAGTACGAGAA